CCCCAAAACCCCAAAACCCCAAAACCCCAAAACCCCAAAACCCCATAATAAATTTTTAAGATGAAGATGAATAGGAGAAGAGAAATGAATCCAAATTTTAATAACTACGACACAAAAGCAATATGCTTTCTCTTATCTCAAGATATTTCTGAGCATTAAACTTCATAAATTTGTGCTCTGAAATCCTCCCGTCATCTTGACAATAAAGCATGAACAAATGCTGCATCTGCTTCAGTTTGAATAGCTGTATGAGTTTCTAGAGTACAAGATCAGAATTTCATCTGAAATTCACTTAAAGTTTAAGGTTGGTAAAAACTAATCGACAGAGTTAGACCTAATTCCTACAGTATTTTCATACTATTAGGACATCAAATATCTTAAACCTCCCTAAATAAGACTATAATTTTAAGTAGAAAGAAGGTTTAAAATGATGCCCTTAAACTCTGTTTTATTGTTCAAATAAAAAAGAGGAATTATAACTTCTTAAAGCATTCATTACCGTAAGAATAAAATAAAATAAATTTGACAATTTTTTAATGGAAGGACGAAGAGTTTGCCCTCCTTTGCTTCATTTTCAAAGAAAATATATAAAAATCTGGAGTATTTGGTCAACTTATTTCAATAGGAGTTTAAATGATTGCTAATCGAGTTGACTCGATTTTAAGCAAGTCTTAGAGCAGGCTGAAGGCAGATGCAATAATTATATACCATATTTTGTTCTAAACTCTATGAGAGAAAATAGGATAGATGGCGCTCCTTTTGCCAAACGGATGATAGTCCTCTTATGAGCCTAAACTGATATTTTTAACCAAAAATATAGCTCTAAGAAATGTTTTAAGAGAACCAAGAATTCAGAAATAAGGCCTTAATGCAACTCTTTGTATGATGGCTGCCGGGTTAAATATTGGAGACAATTATGATAGAAAGTATCTAGTCTAAGATTCCAATTCTTTTTATGTAAAAAGCCAAAGGATTAGTACTTCAAATTTAGTGCATATTTGTCTTTATAAGCATTTCATGACCCAAATTTTATGAGTGTTTTCACCATATTCTAAGAGGCATTATAAATTTATGATGAAATAGTAAAACTAGGCATGCAAATACTCCATATCGTAATTAATAATCATATTCTTACTGAACTTTTATGCTTTTCTAAGCTTCGAGATGGTCTGATTAATTAGCAAAAATTAGCTTAAACTTAGGCGTACACTCTTGGGGGTATTATTGACTTGCAAGAAGAATTAGCAGATTGATAAAATTTACTTCAAACTTGTTTAGAAGAAATATTGAAAATTTTCTATTTTCTTGAAATAATCTAACAGTTTCGCATAGGCCGATTAGAACCTAGCTGTTCTTACCTTTTGAGTGAAGACCATGAAGATATTATTGATTCGTTCAGGAGAGATCCTTGAAGAGTCGATGATGTTATTTCCTATGCCTGTTATTAATAGGAGACTTACTGTTAATGGAGACTCAGGAGTCAACCAGTTTTGTCGACATTCTCTTTTTCCAACGAGTCTGGCTAAAGTCTTTGTAGTGGATAATAGACCCAAGCACAAGCATTAGCTCTTCCTTAGGAGTAATAGAAGTTTGTTCTAGTAAGGATTCTTCACTTGTAAAACTTGCTGGTATTGTGCTAACACCTCGGCATCAATTATAAGTAGAGTATTCTTGAAATTGATGATTGATAAGGTGATCTGTGAAGGCCTCTAGCAGGTGTATGAACACTTTCATCCTTACTGTCTTATGCAAAACACAATAAGAGATGCTGTTATCACTCAGGCTTCCTTCTCCTCCGTATATCTTAGTAGTGAATAACTCTGAAATATGTATGGGCATTGAAGAAAGAGAATTTCTAATAAACTTATTGAACTCGCAAAGAATAAACTTTCTGAAATCCCTCAGTAAAGTCTTATAGTAAACATTCTTCCTCTCATAGTCTTGTTCTGGTTTGGGAGCCTTAGACCTATTCCTTGTAATTTGAAATACAGGCAAAGGCTTTACATAATCTACAGTTCCATAATTCTTTTCTGGATTTTTTAGACTTTTACCCAATTTGTGTGCCAATCCCACCGGCATGTGCCCTGTTAAAAATTCTTGGTTTTCGTTCTGATTGGCTTCCATATGCGGCTCTGAACGACATCTAAGGCCTCAAAATTTGTCAAAGGGGTTCTCTAGGGGTTTATTTTCTATCATAACAGCCATCTAATTCCTTGAAGGAATCATTTTTGCAGGATGAAATTAAGTGGCAAGCATTTTTGGTCTCTAATTCACATAATTTGTCATCCAAGTGTCTGAGAAGCATTTTATTCACTCCTGAAAAGTATCAAAAAGATTCTTGAACAGGTGTTATTTCATGATGCAACTCGCGATGAAACATAGGGTTTATCACAAACCTCATATTTATTTTCTGAGCTAGCGATAAATTATCGTCTGGTCTGTATAGAATTCTAGTGTTCATTGGCTATAAGAGTGATCAGTTTAGCAGCTAACATTAAATTGAATCTGTCATGAAAGAGAAGGATATATAATATCTGCATATTTTGTCAATTTACTAAATCGCACCAGAATAAGTCTAGGACATTATTAATGTTCTTGAATAAAATTTTGAGCCCTAATTTAGCTGAAATTTATGAAGTATCTCTCTTTCCGTGTCCAAAAATTATTAGTATATAATTGTGGCAGGGCTCCCAACTTTTTAAAGATTTCTCACCTATATCTATTGTTGTCAATAAAAATAATTAGATTTCAACTCGAGGAAACCCATTTGGGGTTTTGGGGTTTTGGGGTTTTGGGGTTTTGGGG